CTGGAAAAAAAAAAAAAAGGAAAGTAGGTGGTATTGAATCTAAGCAGTCAGTGGGCACTAACTGCTTTGTAGCTGGCAGGGAGAGAAAAACCCCAAATGTATTTGTGCATGTACCTCCCTAACAATATTTCTTCTCCTGAGCAGCTCCACCCCCACAGACATCAGCAACCCCAATTACCTGGGCATGGCTGCCTTCTCTCAGCAGCCCTCTGCAACCTACCAGCTTAAGCAGACACCTTCACCAGAGCAGCCACCTTCTCTCTGGAACTATGAGCAGCAGCCCAAAGAGAGCACCTCYCTAATGGGGCAGAGTCAGTCATCTTCCACATCACCGTCCTTGTCACCTCTATCTCCAAAAGCATCCCTCCAGCCTACAGTAAACAGAAGCATCTGTAGTCGAAGTCAAGACTACCTGTGAGTGTTCGAGTTTTGCACTGGGGTTGGGCCCCTCTCTCCTATCATTCTGTAAAGTCACTGTTCCATTATCTGTTTGGAGGGTTCAAGATGCAGCATATTCTTTCCATATTTTATCTCTAGAATTAGAAAAAGATAAGTGAAGGTCACAAGTGCAGACATCACACACTCAAAGAAAACTAGCATAGTAGTTCCTCAGACTTTTGTGACAGGAAAGCCAAAGATATACAAGTCAAACTTACAATTAAATAATGGAATCATAGAATGGTTTTGGTTGGAAGGGACCTTAAAGCTCATCTCATTCTACACCCTGCATAGGCAGGGACACTTTCCACTTGACGAGGTTGCTCCGAGCCTCCTCCAACCTGACTTTGGATAGGGAAGGGGCAGCCACATCTTCCCTGTGCCAAGGCCTCAGCACCTTTCTTCCTAAAATCTAACCTAAATCTCTCTTCTTTTATTTTAAAACTGTTCCCCCTTGTCCTGTCACTATCTGCACTCTCACTGCTTTGTGTAAGTCCCCTTTAGGCACAGGAAGGCCACAGTGAAGACTCCTTGGAGTCTTCTCCAGATGAACAACTCCAGTTGTCTCAGCCTGACACATGTAGGTTTAGCTTTCTACAAAGAGAAGAGAAGAGAAAGAGAAGAGAAAGAGAAGAGAA